TAAGGAGGCAAGTTGAAAAAGCCAGGAGCTTGCGAGGCTGAAAAAGAACGGGACTGATGGGCAAAGCTGGGATTTTTTACAAATTTTTTAGGATTTTTTTTATTTAGTTATGCCTCTATTCTCCCTCCATTTTGGTTGTTTATGATACTGACAACAAGCTGTCCCAGTAACCCGTCCTCGATTCCCCCCACCCCGTGTGCCCGATCCGGGCTGAGATCGGCCATGCGCCCTGCTCGGGCGGTACACATAACGATCGGTACGGACACCCCTTCTTTATCAAGAGGAGAAGGGGGTGCCCACATACGTCCCTGCAGCCCTGACCTAACCTATCACCCCCCACCCCCCAAAGAAGAGCATGAAAATGCAGCAAGGAGCCATGGATTGAGGATGAAAGGAGCGCAGGGTGAATGGAGAGCCCCCCGGGCTGCCCCCCATGGAAGTTGGGGGACTTTTGGGTGATCGGAGTATTTTTTACAGATTTTTTTCTCCTTATTTTTTTGGAAAGCACGGTCTGCCTTTGCTTTAATGTCTTCCCCTCCTCTCTCCCCCTCTGCAGCCTCTGCTCCTGTCACAATATTCACTGAAAGAAAGGAAAGCTCACAACTTTCACACCGGACTTTTTTCCTTTTATTTCACTTCTCCAAGGCTAGTTTTGGGGTTCGTGGCACCCCCCCACAAAACAATAAATATATGGATAGAGATTTATTAGGAATTAAAAACAAATTAGACATTTCTCAGGCTCATCAGACAAGCTCATTACATTTATTTCACTTTTCTCCCCAAACTTTGTCCCCTTGCACCCCTTGATTTCCTCCCAATAAAGTCCTTGCACAGGCGGAGAGGAGGGGGGTGAGCTGCTAGAACTTTTTTTTCCCCTGCTCCCTCTCTCTCCCCCCCTCCTCCTCCTCCTTTTCTCGTCCCCCCCTTTCCCATAATTTAAATAACCCTGATTTTTATGCTTCAGAGGTGACTGCGCCGGTCCAAATACCCTGCAAACTCACCGCGGGAGCCTTAACATCCTTCCTACGGTCGATTTTCGGGGTTTAGGTGCCTTTCCGATTTTTTAATAATTTTTTTCCCATATTTTTGCCTGGACGCTGCGGGCCTGGAAATTGTTTGCTTTCCCCTCTCTCCAGCAGCCATTGTAGTGTATGCGCTGCGGATCAACCCAACTTGCCCCGGGAGACGCGCCCACCCCAAACGCCGCCCTCTTGTCCCGCTAAGCTCCGCCGCCGTGGACGCGATCCGCGGCGCTCCGGCCCATGGCGTCGACGGTGCTGTCACCGGGCCGGCCGGCGGTTTTTTTTAGTCTTTTCGGTGCGCTGTTGTGAGGCGGGGCAAGGTCGGAGACCGGGTCGGGGCGGGATGTGGCCTGACTGGCTGGCGGAGTTGGCACTCGGGAAAAGGCTACGGGCGATTGGCAGGGGAAGTTGTCAATGTAGTAAGGGCCGGGTTTGGCCAGCAGGTTAGTGTGTGGTACTACTTAAAGGGGAGCGAGGCTAAAAGTTGACGTATTTCGAATTGGAGTTGTCCGACTTGTGAGAGGGTGTTGTTATGACCTTCCTGGTCAGAGGTATTGTCACCACACATGGTCCTCGGGGGTTCCTTGTCGTTTGCTCCCCCGCTTACACCGGGGTTGATGGGGTACCCAGTGGTGAGGCGAGTATGCAGACCGCTCTGCACGGCTCCTCCACAAGCAGCACACCCGGTGACACCAGGACATGACTCACCGTGACACACAGGCTTGTCATTGTCACCCCGGTGTGTGTGTGCAGCACATGTCCCCTCTCCTGCCCTTCCTGCCTCTGTCAGGGTCATGACTGCTGCAGCTCCACACACGAGGTTGTATCCAGGGCCTGGACTAGTCATTGGGGACTCCAAACTGAGACAAGGCTGGTGTAATAAATGCAACCTTGTTATTAAATGAAAATGTGCATTTATTACATGTGTGCATTGCAGCCTGCAGGCCATTGCAAGTGCGATCAGTGCATTGTGGGTGCATTGCAATGGCTCATGCATGAACATCCCAGCCCCAGGTCTGTACAGAGGTACAGGCTTTGTGTTATGGGGCTGGAGGAAGTCATCAAAGGACATTAAGCCGGGTGGCAGATGGAACATATAGTCTCCCATTCACAGATCCTTGTGGATGGATGATTCACATGTTCCGGCTAAATTAAAAGAGGAATAAAACACAGATGTGTGCAGGGAGAAGAGCCCCCTGATTCAGGTAAATGGGGGGCTAGGGAATGTGACCATGTGTCGTGTTAGGGTACATGCACTTCCACCTGCAGGCTAAACATTCTGAATGGAAGTTATCAAAACTGGAGCAGTTGTCCACAGTAACAAATCAGCTTCCCTCTTCAGTTTGTTCATTTAGGCTTTGAAAATTAAAGACTGAAGCTGATTGGTTGCTAGGGACAACTGTTCCAGATTCTGTCTGCTCCAGTTTTGATAAATTCCCTTCTCTGTTTTAGCGTGCAGGTTGGTGTCCACCCTGTGCTGGCAGTGAGGGGCAATGCTTTATGTTCTAACAACACAAGACACTTTAACTTTGTTTTTGAAATGTCAAGGTGACGTGCAGCATGTCTGCATTACTCTGCAGCCCATCAGAATTCAGCGTTGCAGCGTGAACAGGACACAGAGATAACAGTGGTCTTCTATGTGCCCTTGTGTTGATCTAGTTGAGATAATGTGAATGTAGCCTTACATCCTAAAGCTGGCCATACACTGCTCTATTTTTTTTCCTTCAACCCACGGGCTGAATGAAAAAATAAAGCAGATTCCTCTAAAAATACTACGGGCGCGTTGATTGAGAAATCCCGGCTGCTTCTTTTGTGTTCTGACAGCGGTTGCTGGCCGCTGTTAGAATACCCAAACGGAGCCGGCAGCTCACTGGCTGCTGGCTGTGTTCATACGAAGACCGGCTCCTTCGATCAACTTATTGAGGGATGCCTGCCAAAAGGGTGCCGACAGTGGCACCCACTGTGCAGAAATTCGCACAGTGTATGGAGTGGACTACAACCTCTGCACAAATTAGTCAACTAAATGTGTGATTGTAGTCTTTCACAGGAGTGAGCTTGGAGTGGTTCTACGTTGCAACACACACGGGGACCATGGAGAACAAAAGTAGCCACCCTCCGGAAGGAAGGACAGTGTCAGCACCAATTCAGAGATGATTTGAGGATCTACAGCTGAGCAATACACAAATAAGATACATTCTTTTTTAATAGTTCAGGTACTTGAATGTCATTTTAAGGTTTAGGCTGGGTTCACACCTAGGCGTATCGAATATGCGCGTTTGTACCGCGATTTGCGGTAAAAGAAAATGTGCGACAGACCCGCGTTTCCGAGGGCTACCTGTTTGTATCCCAATGGATGCGCGCGGCAAATACGCCCCAAAGAAGCTCCTTGCAGCGCGTTCCTACGCGCTGTAAAACGCCCAGGCGGGAACCATGCCCATAGGCAATCATTGGTTTTCACATGTTGAGCGTTTTACAGAGCGTAGGAACGCGCTGCAAAACGCCCAGGTGTTAACCAGGCCTTAGTGTCACTTTAAGGTAAACTTGTACTTTGCTCTTGCAGAGCAAAACAACAATGTCACTTTAATGCTTCCCAGCTGCACATACTTACCTTTTTTTTTTGCTGTCCTGCTGCTTTATACAGCTGTAGGGAGCACAGAGAGACAGCCAGTTGGAGCTTACACAGGGCTGCAGACTATCCCTAGCCCCAGTGCTGTCTCCAGTGATAGCCGGCAACAGTTATAACCAAAGAAAAAGTGGGTGTATTCTCCTGGACAACAGGTATTAAAACTAGGGCTGTGGAAATTAAAGATTAATTTCTCGATTAATCGTTAAACTTTTTGAATGATTAAAATTATTTTGATCGCTAATGAAAACACTCACCTCTCCGCCGGTTTCCGGGAGTCCGGTGACGTCGATGTCCGTGACGTCACCAGCCTCCCCCCCTTCGTTAGCCGACGGAGCCACCTGGGCCGGTGAGTTTGCCAAGAAACTTTCTGACGAGCGCCAGCCAAGGCATTGACCTATACACATACAGCACAGCAATGTGTAAATAAAAGAGTGTGATCCTAGTTCATTTTATTACTTCATTGCTGTGCTTTATGTGTATAGGCCAATGTAGTTGGATCTGTATGGCGGCAGTGCTGGCTTCCTTATTTATATCATCATAGGTTTGCTCACCAAAGAAAGAAAAATTAAAGAAGCTTACACTGAATATTAGAAGGTCCGCGAAACACATTCTCCACAGCCAATATTTGTAATTAATTGGGGATCTAATTTTGCAGAAAAAGGGAAAAGTGCCATGGTCTGCAATCTGCAGTATTTGTACATGCATAAGTCTGCTTATAAGGGATGTTTGCAGCATGGGTTAGTTCTCGTGGCCTGTGTTGTCTGGTTTTGACTGATATGACACTTGATTTAATTCTAGGAAATGGGTTGACCCAGGAAGAAATTACATTGTGACTCTAAGGTCATGGCATTTTTTTCCCATGTGTAGAATAGTCTTTTGTTAAAATGTATAAGTTGATAAAGAGTATTCCTACAGTTTAGTTTTACAGTTGTGAGTACACAAGATCATCAATGATTTAAAATATCCCTTTTGTAGCTGCAATAAAACTTAACCTTGCAGCAGAGAACTAAGAATGTGCAACTGTGTGTGTTCCTTGTTCTCAGGCAATCAGAAAAATTAGTTTCAGAGTTCTTGTCACATTAACTGATGCATACCAATGCTGTTAAACTTGGTCTGGGCATCGAAGCTTCAAAAAACTCTGGCCACAAATGGGTTAAAGAACCCAAGACTAACTGAAAAGCAGGTATCCTTTTTAAAACTTAGATGTTGAAATGTTGTTATATAATCAATTGGCATTAGTATGCTATTCAGGGCCTGACACTCTCCCAAAATGTGACTGACCGGCCTTATTACATCATACTGACTGACAGACAACTTGTATCAAGTAGAATGGAAGAAGCTCTTGTTGTATCATGAGACACTTAGCTTTTTTCTGCATGAACCATTGAACAATGACAATGTAAGGAAGTATTGTGCCACACATGTTAGCTAAGGTTAAAGAGGGGAGTATGGGGAGAGTAGAACATACTCTAAGACCGAGAGCTGACTGATCATGTGACCACTGATCAGTCTGCTCCCAGGGTTACAGCAGTTACTGTTGGGACTGCATCCTCTACTCTCTGCTCCTCCAGTGCTGGCTGGAGCCACAGGCTAGTGACGGGGAAGGGTGCAGCTGGCTCAGAGAGGCAGAGACAGCTGTCAGTTATGCAGCTGGATTGGATACCATCAGTGGCTGTGCCCTGTCGGTCAATAACAGGCATTGGCGTGCAGTAGTCGATAGAAAAAAAGGATTGGCTTTAATTCCTTTTGAAAATCCCTACATGTTCCCTTTTAAAATCTATACAAAGTTGTCATGATGGGCAGAGATGAGCGAATGGAGCTACTGTTCCAGGGTCTGGTTTGTTCTCTGTTTGGCCATTTATTTAAGGGTGGTAAGCAGAGGGGAATTGCAGAAAGATGTCCATGGTTTTACAAAGAACCCTCCAAAACCGGGAGGTGAACTAGACTCCACTGTCCAAGACCATATGAGATGGCATGCTGTGCAGTGTCAGTCCCAGGGCCTGCTGAACATGGAAGAGGGATGAAGTGTGCCATTTTGGAGAACCTGTCCACTACAATTCTGCCGTCACATGGTGAGAGGTTCATGACAGTATCCAGAGGCACATGTTCGCAGGGTTCCTTGGATATAGAAAAAGAAAATAAAAGGGCTTGCAGGTGCTCGAGAGGTGATTTTGAGAGAGGCTACCAGTAGTGACAGGACAGAAAGGAGAACATCCTGTGGACCTCAGGGTGACCTGCCAGTTTGATGCCGTGGGCCCAATGGAGACTCTTGATCCTGATGCTTGATGGGACCAAAGTTTTTCCTGGAGGAATTGGGGTCACTGTCAGAATTTGAGCTGAAGGAAGAATGGGCTGCGGGTTAGAGACGACTCTGTTGTATGGGTGAATGCATCAGCTCAGGGATTGCTGGAGCCGGGTTTCTTTATAAAGATCAAATTAAAGTAGGAAATGATAAAGGACCAATGGGCTTGTGTTGGGTTGAGACATCGAGCAGACTGGAGAGCTTGTAGGGTTTTGTGATCTGTAAATATGATCAGACTACGTGGAGATCCCTCCAGAAGATACCGTCATTTCTCAATGTCCTCTTAATTCTTTTCCACAGATATTTAAAAAAAAAAAAAGGATGGAGGAAGGGTTTATGGGTATCTGCATATTCGAAAATGGTTTGGTTAGGAGGGCACAGAGCATCAAAAGCTTCAGGGGGACAGGTCAGGATAGTAATAGTTGCCACCAGACAGGAGTAATTCCTGATAAAATGCTGTTAATGGTTTGTAAGAATTGCAAACAAGCAAGAAGATATACAAATTCACTTCAGAGATTTAAATCACACAAACCTTTACTTTACCTGCAGTGGTGTTTTTACTATAAGCAGTCCAGTAGGTTGGTATCGGCTCGGTTATATCACCGGAGGCTACAAAATGACTTGTTGACTTTATTTGATAGACTTTTCCTAATCAAACTTAAGCAAACAATATTTGACACAGAGAAAAATTCAAATGCTGCTTCTGATAATCTTGTACCTTTCTGCGTTGTGGTGTAAATGTCACAGAGAAAGGATTCTGTAGCACCAATTACACAAATCATGAAGTGTAACTGTCATTTAAAGATAGAATTTCTTTCAAAAATAGTGATTGGCCACTCATAAAGAAGCAATAAAAGAATCCATAGTGTAATACTATAAAAAGATCTTTATTAAAAACAAAGTTAAAAACACACTCACAAGAGTAATGGCATGATCATCTTATAGGATCCATCTCCTCTCCGTGTCCTGCTCCGCTGCCGGCCAGTTACATCAATCCCACATAGAGATATAGCAATTGTTCGATCACACAAAACTACAGTCTGTAATAAAGATGTTTTAATGGTACTACACTATGGATTCTTTTATTGCTTCTTTTAGGAGTACATGGGGAAATCTGCTGACTAAAAGAGAAGAGACATTACTGGTGTTACGGAGTTCAGAGAACCGGATTGGAAGCAGAAATAAGTACTCCTATTTGAGCAATTTATGACTATTCCTGTGTAGTGGTCTACCCTATCTGGTGAGTGCGTTTTGGAACAAGTGGTGTCACACGTGGATGGGGAAAGGTTTCACTCACAGTACAGCATATGCAATTTAATTGGAAGATCTTGCACTAGTGTATGGTATACTGCGCGCATTTGTGGACTGTTTTGCACCTTTGGACGGAAATATTTTTAAGACTGCATCAACAGTGCAATAAATTAGCCACTATTCATTGATTGGTATTTGAAGGTCACCTATTTATTGATTTATACTGAAAACCATTATATCAGTTATTATTTATGGAACTTTATTGTATATATTGATTATTAGCGCTGGGTATCAGGTGTTATTGGTAGAAAAGGGGCATATTTGCTCCTAGCACAGCAGCTTTTTGTATTAAATAGGGGTTACTGACAGCTAGGAGTGCAGATCTCTATTGTGAATATACTAATTCAAATATAATACTTTGAGCAGGAGGATTGCATTTAAAATGTGTAGTAAATTTAATTTTACTTTAACTCGTATTGAGCACCAATCCCATGAGAATCTTACAAATTTGGTGATTGCTACTTGCATGCTGTGACGTATAGAAATCTAATTTTATATTTTGTTCAGTTTTTCTTTTTTAGTGAGATGTCTGCTTTCAGAAATACTGATGTTAATCCATGCTTGGAGGTTAGTTGAAAGCTAATCATTTAAAATAATGCTTTATAAGAACAATTTTCATAGTTTGCCATTTTTTTAAAATTTAAAAACAATTGTGTATGGAAGAATTCTTTTATATTTCTGTAACATTTTTGGTCAATGTGAAAATGTCTTTAATTTTGTATTTAAGGAAAGTGCTGCCTCTACAAAGTGCATGAATGTGAATAACTACCAAAAAGAAATGTGCACTTCTTACTTTATCAGATACAAACAATGCAGAAAGTTTTGGGTAAGTGGAAGTTATTGAACATGTATATTTAACCACCTTAGTAGAGGAAACATTTTGTAATTTTAGCACGCACATACTAAAATCTGGATTTTTGGATAGAAAATTACTTTAAAACTCCAATTAAGTATACATTATCTGACAGTGAAGGCCCTGTAGAATAAAAAAAAATGGTAGCTGCATTTTTTTCTGTTGCACGATATTTGCGCAGTTGTTTATCAAATCGATATTTTTAGGGGAAAAAACCCTTAGATGAATTTTAGTGCACACAAAGACAATATATCACTGTTTTTGGTAAAATATGGGGTTACATAGAGTAAATAGATGCCAAACATGTCAAGCATTAAAATTGTGCATGCCTATGCCATGGCGACATTGTATGGTACTCCAAATTGTCCAAAGGCGACAGAGTTAACAGTAAAATATGGTCCTACATTTATTATTCTCACTCAGACGTTCGCGGCGATACCCAACATGTGGTGCAATCATCATTTATGTACATGTGCATGCCCTACGCACGCGTTTTCATTCGCATGCAGATGGTGAGAGCGATGGGGTTTAGTTTTAATTTTTATTTATTTTACTATATTTTTGCTTCTTTGTAATTTTTTTTCCCCACTTAACTTTATTGCCATCACACCGGGGCTAACAAGCCCCTTTGTGTTAGCATTTGGAGGTGACAGGCTCTCTTTATGGAGACATCAGTGGGTCACCTATGCAGGCTAGTAAAAGTAATCTGGGTGGCATTACGGCGGTCGAGATCACTTATACAAAACGAGAATCTTCTGCTGAAAAAACAATGCCACAATCATATGGGTGGAAATGTGACATTTACCGTATTTTGCGGTCCATAAGACGCACCGGACCATAGGACGCAGGGAGGTCCGGTGCGCCTTATGGAGCACTCGACAGACCGTAGCTTCTGTCACAGCTTCTATGACAGAAGCTGCGACAGAAGCTGCAGTTAGTGACGGCTGAGACAGGCGGCGCTGTGATTACAGCGCCACGGTCTCAGTGATGACACAGAGCAGACGAAGAACGTCCGTTCTGTGTCTACTCTATGGTGATCTCGATCGTCGCCGCTGCTCGGTTTTAATTTGAGTAATCTCATTAGATCACTCGGATTAAACGAGCAGTGGCTCCTACTACTCGCCCGGCGCCCAAAACTGCATGTCTCGGGCGTCGGGATTCGCTCCATAAGACGCAGGCACATTTTCCCCCTCCTTTTGGGGGGAAAAAAGTGCGTCCTTATGTAGCTAAAAATACGGTCTACTGTATAGAACGTCCATGGGCCACTAAATTAAATAAATCTTTGTGTGGTTGGAGCATTTGAACAATTTATGTTTAGTTCTGGTATATATAGTTTGTGCTAGCTGTAGTTAAAAGTACCTGTTGTCACCAGAACAAGAGCTAAGGGCAAATATTTCAATAGGGATATTTGTTCTGGTCTACAAGGGGCACCTTTTTAGAGATTTTCTCGTACGTCCTGTTGTATCTTTAGAACAGAAAGTTAAGGAAAATCTTCCCCAAAGGGACAAAGACACCACAAATAAACTTAAAATGTTTTAACGTTTCTGTACTTGATCCAAATTTTAAATAAAACGTTTTGGCTCTACAGTCGTATAAAAATACATCTTCTTTGAAGTCAATGGTTTTAATTAATCAGTACATAAAAAAAATCTGGTCCTTAGCAGATCCTAAAATCTGGGTAAGTGTAACCTCAGATAAACAACAACACATTATATTTTACAACGGGTCATTGTTTATTTTACAAAAATCAAGCAAAAATGGAAACGTGGGGAAAAAAAACAAGTACACCCTTACTGCTTCCATAGGAATTAACAGGCTAAGCAGCTACCTGGTGCCTTTGATTAATGGTGTGTTGGGGAGAGGGGGTTTAAATGGCGAGGCTTGGAAAAGGCAGGCGTGGACATGCCGCATAGTTGTAAAGGGAGGAGACCTGGGGTGTGTGGGGGTTAGGGGGGTAAGGAAGAATGGCGAGAGCAGGGGTAAGTGGGTGGGCATGAGACAGAGTGGTGGTATATGTATATTCAGTTAAAAAAAAAACATGAATTGGTCACGCATGCGCACTGGTGGCAGTGCCGGTAGCGCAAGAGTTGGTTGCACTCCTGTCCTCTCAACAGGCTACCATCAATATGACAGTGAAATCTAGCGCATGCGCGGGATCTAGTGGTCATATTTCTGCCATTGCAATAGGGATAGTCAGTCTGGGAAGTTCATCCCCATTTATACCATAGAGCAGGGGCGCCCACTATTTTTCGTCTGGAGATCTACTTTTCAAATGACGAGCTCATTGAGAACTACCAAAGAAAAAACACCGAGAGGGGGCGTGGCGGTGCATTGAAGTCAATGGCACCGCAGCCAGGCTCTGCAGGCAGGCCCCTCGCCCACAGTGCGATCGCCTGCATTAGTGTGTTCCAGTCCAGTGCGATCCGCAAAAATGCTGCGAGCACTATTTTTGCAGATCGCACTGGACCGGAATGCAGGCACTAATGTGCGTTCCGCGTTCCGAGTCTGGAGGAGAGGACATGGCGATCTACCAGTTATCGCTACACGATCGACTGGTAGATCGCGATCGACCTTGTGGGCTCCCCTGCCATAGAGCATTATGAATGCAGGATGCGCTGGTGCCGCCATTACTAGTTTGTGGCACCTGAAACCCGGCCAAGCAAACGCAGTGTTTTCCTGTGTGTGAGAGCATACATGAACGCGTGGGGGGAAACGCGTCACAAAATTTGCTACATGCACTACTTTCCTGCATTTGGCATGCAGCCAAGAACCCATTTGAAATCAATGGGGACACGCTTCAAACACCGGAAACAAATGCCTGTGAACAGGAACGTGCATCACCGCGATGCTATAGTGTGAACAGAGCCTTATATGATGCCGGATGTCCTCACAGTGTGCAGTAAAGTAAAAAAAAAAGCTATTTTGGTACAAAAAAAGAAGCGTGTAAAGCTATGCAAGACTGAAGGTGCGTTAGGGAAGCAGAGCCCCAAATAACAAAAATGAATTCAAAATCAAAGGGGCGAAGACTGTTTACATTCACTGTGGGAAAAACTAGACAAATGTATATCTTGATGCAGGACTGTTGGCTTTGGAAGCCAATACTTTTAGGCTAGGTTACTGGGCTGAAAGTTTAGGTGATGAGTTAAGTGACACTAAACTCAGGAGTGAAATCTTAAAAATGCATTCAAGTATTCCACGTTCTGTATCACTCGGCTGTAGATCCTCAAATCATCTCTGAATGCATGCTGACACTGTCCTTCCTTCTGGAGGGTGGCTACTTTTGTTCCCCATGGTTCCTGTGTGTGTTGTAAAGTAGTTGATCGATGGGGGAGCCCTCCGCATCACCTCGCAGCAGTCCCGGCCAACAAGAAAAATGGTGCTCGTAGTGACAAACACGGACTTGTTCTGTGTTGTGAAGTAGTCACTGCTCCAAGCTCACTCCCGTAATGGACAGTGTCGGCACCAATTCAGAGATGATTTGAGGATCTACAGCCAAGTGATACACAAATAAGATACCTTTTTGTTAATAGTTAGTTAGTACTTGAATGCTGTTTTGAGATTTAAATCCGGAGTTCAGTGTTACTTTAACTTTTCGGGTTTAATA